AAGTAGGGACGGGGTGTCCATCGTTCTGGCGAAAGAAGGGACCTGGACAAATCTAGAGTCGGCGTACCAAACCGTGATGTTGGGCGACGGGGACGCCTTCCTTTGGATAGAAACATTGTGGACCAAGGTCAGCCTAACCCGGCTAACTCCTAACCTAACCGACTTGGAATTTATGGGGACTCTGGAGGCCCAAGGATGAATCTACTTGTCCAAGGAAGGAGAGAACGCAATGGTTGTGGACTTGGCATTAGGGGTAGTCCCGTACAAGTTGTTTAGGCGGGAGGCGTTTTTATGGACGGCCCCGAAGTCCTCAGGAATTATTTAACGTCGCAAACATGACGACGATCACAGCCAATGGAAGGTCCCCACCGGTACTTATTTATAGATGTCCGGTCTCGTCTTTCCCATAGGGCTGGCCTGCCCCTCAGAACCCCTCTATAGAGCAGTGAGCAGACAAAGGACAAAGCAGCAAAGCATGCGTGCTCTACTCCCAGTGGGTTGGCATGGTGATCGTGACCCAGTGCTTCGTCCAGGGCCCTTCAGATAGCACCGCCCTCTCCTTCCAGATGCTCCACGTGAACACTGACGGCTCTCAAGGTTGAGCACACACGACTCCTCATATGAGATGACTCTCAAGACAAAACACACATCCTCGCGGTAAGAAGTGTCGAAGAGGGTAGATAAGGTTAGGTGCAACGTACCTCAAAATATGTGCCCCCAACCACAGATATTCTCACCAGATGACCCGATGTTGATTGTGATGACCAATCGCTGCTTCCGCACAACGAGCATTTCACCGCGGTTCCAGTCAGCATCAATCACACGTCGAATAGTTCTTATCACACTGTGAACACCCAATAATCACCACATAGTAGCCTTCCTGGGGATACCCCTCACCTCCTGGGTCGCCTCACTTGTCTCCACCCTCCTCACTACGCACCTCCCACGGCCGCTCGCCCAGCAGACCACGTGCATGTACCGCAGAGGCAGAAGACAAGCGCCAGATGAGCGCACCGTACCACAACTCCGATACCAAATTGCGAGGAAAATGAGCGATAGCAAACTTCAGAAATCAAACAGCATCATACACATGAGACCAGATGGTCATGACCTCGAACCAATAGCAGATTTGCATCACGAGTTCCACCAAATAAGAGCACAGCAAAAACTCACAATTGACAATGCTGGAATAGTCTCATCATCATCAACAAAGAACCAATGTCAGTATTCTATCTGGCTCTCAGTGCCCAGACTACAAATGGCAGATCCTATCTAGCCTATCTACAATGCCGCTGATGACGTCAACAGCTCCCTGAAGTACGAGCAGATCTCGGCCAATGCGGTACGCTTCAAGCACCAGGTATGTCTCTCGTATCACTCACAACCTCGTTCCCCAACTCACAGATGCCACATGCACCCAAGAACCACCATGCGCCCCATCCAGCATACAGCAGCGCAGCTCGGCTATGGCTGCCTGCTCCTTCCAGCTCGCCCGTGAGTGTGTGAGCGCTGGCCAGCCTTAGCGCAGCAGCGCTTGCGCAGCATGCAGCCAGTGCCCCAATGCCAAATGCAGAGGCAGGCCCTTTCCTAAATGGAAGTGGCCTGCTTGCTGCTGCGGCCAGGCTGCGCTGGGCCCTCGCCCGGAAGCTTCCGGTAGGCCCCGACTGGCTGAGCCCCAATCCATCCAAAACAGGCCCAGGGCCTGAGTTAGTTGCCCGTACCCAACTGCCCACAGCCTGTGTTCGGTCTGTATACGCGTCTGCCCCAGGGCGTACTTCAGATACATTTGGAAAACGGATGCCTGGGCCTGGGTGCTTGTAACCAACTGACGCCACACAACTGTCTGAATTCTCCCAGTTGCGTGGAGGCCTGAAAAAGGGGCCCTAAGGCCCTGGTCCAGCCTGCCTTCACTTAGGGCGGCCGACAATACTGCAAACAGGGCCAAAGGGGCTCATCGGGGCCATATGCCTCGCACTTGGGTGGTAGGCTAGTGATATAGGTAGGGCTACAAATGTCAGAAGTGACGAAAACCTGAAATGCCGCGAATGCCAAGTCTCACAATATCTCAGATATCGATCTCACAATGTCAAGTACATCTTCAGAAGGAAGATGAAATCAGATCCCCAAGTAGTCCTTAACTCGTAGTCCCAATGTCGTTGATCCCAATGTTATCAGAATTCGTAACCATCCTTCATACTGCAGTAGTCCCGTAGGAGAACCCAGAAGTAGACTTAGAC